TGGGAAGTGAACCCAGGGATGCTCTACCACTGAGCTACATAGTTTCACATTTTTTAAATTATAAATTTTAAATCTATTTATTTTTGCAGTACTGGGATTAAACCCAGGAGCACCTTACCACTGAGCTACACCTCCAGCCTTTTATTTTATTTTGAGACAGGGTCTCCTTAAATTGCCCAGACTGGCCTTGAATTTGTAATCCTCCTGCCTCAGCCTCCTGGGTCACTGGGATTACAGGTGTACACCACCATGCCTGGCATCCATCTTAGATTTCTACTATGAAAAATGAAAAAACTATGCCCGTACAAAGACTTGAACACAATTATTTACAGCAGCATTTTAATAGCCAAAAATGAAAACAAACATCCTTCAACTGGACAAACTGATATATTCATACAAGATAATACTATTCAGCAACAAAAAGAAACAAATACTAACATATGCTACAACTTCAAAGAACCTAAAAACATTAAACTAAGTGAAAGAGATGGAAAGTAGATTAGTGGTTGCCTGAGGTTGAAGATGGGAGTTGGCATTAACTACAAATGGGTTGAATGGAATTCTGGGGGATGGAGGCATATAAATTCTGAAATTGGAGTGTAGTAATAGTAATAACGGCACCACTCTACAAATTTATGAGAAATTACTGAATTGTATAATTTCAGCGAGTGAATTTTATACTATGTAGATTACACTTCAGTAAAGCTGTTCAACAGTTCAAATTTAGGGCAGAAGGTTATAACTCAGTGGTAGAGTGCTTGCCTAGCATGTATGAGGCCCTGAGTTCAATTCCTTGTAGTACCATGTTAAAAATTCTTTTTGAGGGCTGGGGTTGTGGCTCAGAGGTAGAGAGCTCACCTAGCATGCATGAGGCACTGGGTTCAATCCTCAGCACCACATAAAGTAAAATAAAGACATTGTGTCCACCTATAACAAAAATATTTTTAAAAACTTTTTGAAACTTGAATTATGCCTTATTAAGCAAGAAATATGATTTAACAATATAATCAACCATTTGTACAACTCTTAAAAAAAAAAGGGCAACCTAATAATCATTCACCTCCAGTTTTTAAAAAAATTTTTTTAGTTGTAGATGGACATGATACCTTTATTTATTTTTACGTGGTGCTGGGGATCAAACCCAGGGCTTCACACATGCAAGGCAAGCGCTCTACTACTAAGCCACAACCCCAGCCCCTCACCTCCAGTTTTCATTGTCCTAAATGTTACTCATATTTTGGGAAAAAGTTTAAGTATTGGAGGACTTAAATAGTTACATAGAAAAAGGCAATGAAGTTGGGTGTGGTGCTGCATGGCTAGAATCCCAGCATCTCAGGAGGCCGAGGCAGGAAGATTACAAATTCAAGGCCAGCCTCAGCGACTTAGTGAGGCCCTAAGCAACTCAGTGAAACCCTGTCTCAAAAAAAAAAAAAAAAGCTAAGGACTTAGCTCACCACTAAAGCGCCCCTGGATTCAGTCCCTAGTACCAAAAAAAGAAAAAAAAGGGCAATACAGTACTATACTAAATCACCACAATAAAGACAAAGAAGTAGGATTTGGATTATATTAATTCAAATGGACAAGTCTACTGTCACTAGTCATTCAAAAATATTTTCATATTCTCAACAACAAAAAAATCATTCACACAACTCTTCTCCCAAACCCAGAAACCATATAGTTTATTATTCCAGAGGAAATTAAGGCACCAAAATCAAAAGTCACACCAACACTAACACAAGAAGTAGACTTGGGGGTGGGAAAGAGTCTGCCGATAGCAAAAAAGCCTGACCTATGATGGGATTATCTCTTTCTTACCATTTTGGCACTGCTGCTTCTATTTTAACAATTTTCACCCAAAAGAAAGCACAATATAATTTACAAAGGATTTTAGAACCAAAGAAATCTTTTTAAAAAAAATATTTATTTTTTAGTTGCACACAATACCTTTATTTTGTTTATTTTTTTTTTATGTGGTTCTGAGGATTGAACCCAGGTCCTCTGAGTGCTCTACCACTGAGCCACAACCTCAGCGCCCCGCCCCCCCACCCCAGCAAAAAATCTTGATACTGGATTTTTGTTCCACTATCATAGGTTATGTGATCTTTAGGAAACAGCTTCACTAATTTCCTCGTCTGGAAACTGAACATACCTCTAAAGGCTTGTGTGTGTGTGTGTGTGTTTGTTTTACTATGAGTTGACCCCAAGGGCAACCTACCACTGAGCTACATCCCCAACTTTTTATTTTTTAAGACACGGTTATCATGAAGTTGCCAAAGCTGGCCTCAAAATTGTGATCTTCTTGCCTCAGCCTCCTAAATCCTGGGATTACAGGTGTGCACCACCATGCCCAGTTCTTCTAAAGGTTTTTATGAGAATTAAATAGAACAGAGGAAGTAGAATCTGATCACTGCTTAGCACATACACTAGTTCCCCCTTAACTATGGTTTCATTTTCTGCAATTTTTTTAAATATTTATTTTTTAGCTTTAGGTGGACAGAATATCTTTTTATTTTATTTTTATGTGGTGCTGAGGATCAAACCCAGTGCCTCACGCATGCCAGGCAAGCGCCCTACTACTTGAGCCATATCCCTAGCCCCTCATTTTCTGCAATTTAATTTACCTGTGGTTGACTGCAATACAAAAGTATTAACTGGAAAATTCCATGAAATAAACAATTAATACACTTTAAATGGCATGCTGTTTTGAGCAACATGATGAAATGTTGCACTATCTCACTCTGTTCTGTGAATGTCAATCATCCTTTGACCAAAGTATCCACACACTATCTGCCCAATAGTCACTTAGTAGTTATCTCCACTATCAGACTATCATGGTACTTGTAGTACTTATGTTCAAATAACCATATGCAGTAGCCTAACACTATATTAGAATGCCTACGTTACTCACCTGACTTCATCGTATCACAAGCACTATATCATCTCATGTCATCATAAGAAGGGTAAGTACAATAAATATTTGGGGGAAATCCACATTCACATAACTTTTATTGCTGTATGTTGCTACAACTATTCTATTTTATCATTAATTAGCTGTTAATCTCTCTCTCTCTCTCTCTTTTTTTTTAGTACCAGGGATCAAACTCAGAGTCCACTCAACCGCTGAGCCATATCCCCAGCCCTATTTTGTATTTTATTTAGAGACAAGGTCTCACTGACTTGCTTAGTGCATCGCTATTGTTGAGGCTGGCTTTGAACTCATGATCCTCCTGCCTCATTCTCCCAAACCACTGGGGATTATAGGCATGTGCCACCCCACCCGGCATTAGTTGAAATCTCTTACTGTGCCTAACTTAAAAATTAAATTTTGTCATAGATATATAAGAAAAAAACATATAGTGCATTTATATACAATTCAATATTGTCCACAGTTTCAGCATCCACAGAGGATATCCACTAGCACTCAGGCAGGTACTTTTGTTGTCAAACGCTGGGGTAAAGGGCCAAATTTGTTCCAGTCATTTATGAGTCCCAGGTATTGATGACAAAGTAAGGATTAGTGCTTAACCTGTCTATCCCAAACTTCATCTTCTTCCTTTTTATCTATGGTGAGACACCAGTAGCTCAAAAGAGATAGTTTTAAGTACCTTAGTACTTCTAGTTATGATTTGATGGGCCTAAAGAACTCCCTCAAAATCTTTTGTTATTATTTTAATTCCTACCTCACGGTGCACTCAGTCTCCCCTAAACTCAGTGGTTCTTATCTAGTGGAAGTTGTATTACTACCACTCTTTAAAAATATGGAAAGCATCTTCAGATTGGTGTACTACCCACGTATAGCACTCTGGGTGCTAGAGATGCTAGGTATCCTACAATGCTTGAATTATCTCTTATTTTGAGACAGGGTCTTACTACATTGCCAGGATGGCCTTGAACTTGTGATCCTTCTGCCTCAGTTTCTTAATAAGTTGCTGGGACTAGAGGCATGTGCTACCACACCTGGGCTATGTTTGAAATTTCTGCAAATAAAATGTTGACCTCAAATAAGTCTTTCAATAAGATGTATAATTCATCTTGATACACTTTTAAGATCCGATTCAGGCTAGATGACTTACTTCTTTCTTTGCTATAATGTACATATTTGTATCTTAGTTGTATCCCAAATACTGCTACTACCAACAGTTTATACTTACACTAAACTTATGTTTCAGACTCTATACATCTACCCAACAACTCTCAAGTACTTTTTCTTATCCAAATTTTATTGAAGAGAAATAAGGAAATTAGCCAAGATCATCTAGCTTGCATCTTAAGTGGTGAAACAAGAATATGGAAACTTTGTTTCCCAAGGCCTATGCTCCTTAACCAATCCATTATCCTGCCCCTCAAAAACTGTATCAAAACATCAGCTCCAGGCTGGGGTTGTGGCTCTCCTAGCATGTGTGAGGCCCTGATGCTACATAAAAATAAATAAATAAAATAAAGGTTTGTGTCCAACTACAACTAAAAAAAATTTAAAAAGAAAAAAAATCAGTTCCATGAGAAGGGAGACTACTTAGTGACTTCTGTACCTTCTGATTCTTCAGAGAGGTAAAAAAAAGGTGGGGGGAAAAAGACAATGACCGTGGTGGCTCATGGGTGAGTAAACCAATGGTCTCTACCTCTAGAGAGTCCTAAAGCCTGAAAAAAAGCACTTACTCAGAAAAGCCTTTCCACTTCAGCAGATACTCCACTTGCCCCTTAACCACACGCCTGTCTAACACCTTCTCCACAACATATTCCTCCTCATCCTCTGAAGAAGAACTGTCAGCTGTCCTCTTGGTTTTCTTTCCCATGTCGCACACTATTCCACCTGAAGGACTAAGGCCACGGGTTCCTGCAAAGGGGAAAGACGAAATGGTTACAACCTTTGTGAGGATTAAAAACTTTGTCTCTTATCAATGTGACGAATCGGAGAGAACAAAGTTTCTGATCATTCTATGTAGACAGCTTAAGAACTTAATTTAAACAAAAAGAATTTAATTAAAAAATGGATCAATTCCTCAATCCCCCAGCTACAATTTTCTCTTTGTCGAAAGAGATGAAAATTATCAGATGGCAGTTATCTAACTCCTGGTTACTTTTGTAACTGTTTTTAAGCCTGGAATTCAAAGAGAAAATGTGGAAAACCTTTGGTTAAATGAACCAAGACAGAATGAAAACATTTCCCTACAAGGTGAATAGAGTCTTTATAAAAATGAAAAAAGAAGCCACCAATATGTAACTTTTCTCTAATCTGAGCATCTTGACCAGTCTCTTAGCACAAAAACAGCCTTGCTTAGGCATCTTTCACCACATTTTCAGTGACTCGGTACATTTCCTTGAAACAAATTGAGCTTGTCCCTCCAGAGCATCCATCAGCTCACAAGAGCAAGGCTGACATCTCAAACACACTAAGCCTCCTTTTTTAGCATGCTCATTTGGGGATGAGAGGGAAGAAGAAAAACTTTTTAGTCCTAAAATTCAAAATTAGTCACTGGATTATTCAGTAATTCCCATGGCTCAACTAACCTAAATAGTTAAGGAGGTCCCTCTCCTCTTAACTGAAGTTGACTCTGGGCCAAAGGAAGAGGAGGAAAAAGAAGTCTGGCCCCAGACTCAGCATCAACATTAAGCCTCCTCAAAACACAGAGGAGCCATTCATAGGCCCAAGGAAAGCTGAAGCAAGGCAAAACTAATGGAAATTGAGTTAAGCCCAGAAATATGCACAACAGGGGGTGCTCCATAAAGACTCTAATTTTTTAAAATCCAACACTGTTGTTACCATAACCATATTTAAGAATTCTTCCTTAACCATGTTAAATGGTGCCTACAGTCTGGATTATAGAGTACCAGGGATTGTTTTCTTAGCTGAACTTCATTTTTATTTTGCTGTTATCTTTAAAGATGTTTTTCAGCACTCCTAAACATTACCATGTTAACCAGGAAACCACTCCCAGGAATAAGGACCACTAATGTCAGAATTATGTTCATGTCAAGTAAACATAAAAAGTTACATCAATTCACTTCAAATTAGATTTTAAGAAATTATTGCAATATTATTGGAAACCACATTCTAGAACTTACTGCAATAGGTATACACATCCTAAAAACTGCCTGTACCCATAACTGCCCTATAATAAAACTAAGTTTTCATTAAAATACTTTATCTGGAAAAGAGTATGGGAGAATGTTAAATAGGTGTTTTTAAAATATATCTTTCCATGAATTTAGAAGAGACTCCTAAGCTGCAAGAAAATAGATCTGATTTTGGTTTATTTAAATAAAAACAGCCTCCGACCTCACCAGAGACAGGAAATGTCATATTCCAGGGAGAGTCCCCACCCCCACCCCCACTCACCTTGGAATTTCCGGGAGCTGAGCAGTTTAGGTCAGAGCGCTGGGGTAAAAACCAGCCCCATGTTAGATGCATGCAGTTAAGCATTGTGGCTATGGCCTCCCCTGCCTCAGCAGGAAAAACAAGGATTTACATATGTGTTCTTCAGTTTGAGGGAGGGAAAAGGAAAATTTCCCTTTATCCCTTCATGAAGCCCCCAAAGTAGAAAATGAATGGGGGTTCCCTCCTTTACCTACCGGATCGCCCCAGTTCTTTCTTTCCCTCTGGGCTAACAGGAGGGGCCTCCCCTCCTAGGTCTGGGGCTTGGCGGGCTGGCAGCGCCCCCGCCCCCACCCAGCTGCCTGGGCGCCACTGCGCAGCTGTCCCAGTCCGTTGCCATGGCAACTGGCAGCCTTACTAGACTGAGGGGGAGAGGCAAATGGAAAAGTTAAAAGGCTTAACTTTCCTTTTCAGTGATGACTGGGTGGAGAAGTTGGACGGTACCTCCTTTGGCCTCAAGGCAAGGCATTCAGAAACCAAGGGAATTGGTCCTTGGGTTTTAATTTCAAAACTTATGCTTATTATTCTAAAAGCACTGTGAATTAATCAATAGCAATTTAAGATCATCTAATAAGATTATAGCTCACTGAAAGGAGGAATGGAAAGGCCAGGTCCTTCTACAACAAGATCTGTACCCTAACCCACCAGAAGCACTTTAGACAAGGCCTTTTTCACCATCTGTATGGTACTGTTAATGGGCTAGGGTTGTAGCTCAATGGTAAAGTGTTTGCCTGGCATATGTGAGGCCCTATGTTTGAGCACCACACTGGAGGGGGAAAAAAAAAACACCTCCCTGTGTATAGTACAATTATTAAAATTGTTTGGGAGGTAATCAGAGGAAAGAGGGGGAGGGGAAGCATTTCAAAGATACCATATAAGGGCTGGAGACATAGCTCAGATGGGAGATTAATTGCCTCAAATGCACAAGACCCTGGCTGGGTTCAATCCCCAGCACCACCAAAAAAAAGATACCATATGAGCTTCCTTCTTGGGAGGAACACTAGACACAGAACTAGAATCCAAAGGCTTGAAATACTGACCAAAAAAACCTTACAACTGAAATTATAGCTAGGGAAAAAATTAATCCCTAATACAGCAGTTACATAAAGGAAGGGAGAGTAGGTTAGCCAAAACCACGGCTGTTGAACTATTTATTCTCACTTGATTTTTTGTTTTAGTACTGAAGATTAAACCCAAGGGTGCTTTACCACTGAGTTACATCCCCAGTCCTTCTGCTTTGTTTTGTGACAGGGTCTCCCTCAATTGTTGAGGCAGGCCTTTAAGTTAGAATCCTCCAACCTCCTTGCTTCTTTATCTTTCTTTCTGTGTGTGTGTGTGTGTGTGTGTGTGGTGCTGAGGATTGAACCCATTGAACCCACAGCCTTGTGCATGTGAGACAACAAGCGCTCCACCAACTGAGCTGTATCCCCAGCCCTCTCACTCTTTTTTTTTTTTTTTTTGGTACCAGGGATTGAACCCAGGGGTGCTTAACCACTGAGCCACATCACTAGCCCTTTTCTTTTTTTTTTTATTTTGAGACAGGGACTCACTACCTCATTTAGCTGAGGTTGGCTCTGAACTGGCAATCCAATTCTCCTCCCTAGGCCTCAAGAGCTGCTGGGATTACAGACCTGCATCACCATGTCCTGGTCATTCTTGCAATGTTGTTATGAAATGGATCTTTTAGTAATTATTATCCATCTGATAAACATTATTAATACATCATTCCCTATGTCAACAATCCCTAATACTTGAGAAAAGGAGAACTGGGATGAAGAAAAGAGACTAAATGCCATAAATTTTGCTTTTAATTATCTTATTTTTTTAAATATATTTTTTAAAGTTGTTGATAGACCTTTATTTTATTTATTTATATGGTGCTGAGAATGGAATCCAGTGTCTCACACATGCCAGGCAAGTGTGCTACCGCTGAGCCCCAGCGCCAGCCCTTAAACAAACATTTTAGAGCTCCCAAATCCTACTCTGCTTTACATACAGGAACTTTATCTTATTTTACCTTTTATAGTGTTAAGGTCTGGTGCATTCTAAACACACTCTACCACTGAGCTACAACAGCAGTCCTATGTGGGAACTTTGTTTTTTATGATACTGGGGATTAAATCCAGAGGCATGCTACCACTAAACTACATGCCTAGCCCCTTTAGTTTTTTAAATATTTTTCAAAATTTTGAGACAAGATATGAGTAAATTGCAAAGGTGGGCCCTGAACTTGCCATTCTCCTGCCTCAGTCTCCAAAATAGCTGGGGTTAAAGATGCGCACCACCATTCCCAGCTCTTATGTGGGAACTTCACAGCCAGAGACTGCTGCCATGGGATAGAAAGAAAAGGAACAATCAAAAGCAAAGAATCTGTTGGGCTGGGTAGCACAAGCCTGCAATTCCAGCAGCAGGAGGCTGAGGCGGAATGATTGTCAGTTTGAGGCAGCTTCAGGAACTTTGTGAGACCGTCTCAAATAAGAAAATTAAAAAGGGCTGGGGATGTAGCTCAGTGTGTGAGACCCCTTGGTATTAAAATAAAAGAATCTGACTGAATAATAGCAGACAAATAAAGGTGATTATTTGGTTGTCAGACAGAAAACAGCTATTACAGGTCAGAAAAGTCAAAATTTTTAATTATAGGGGATTTCCTCAAAATTGAAAGGATCCATCAGGAAACCTCTGAGTAAAAATTGCCCTTTTCAACTCTTCTTACTTTTCTTAACTAAGGAATCTAAAAACAATGCCATAGAAATTAAAATAGTGTCCTGATTTTTCATTAATTTGCCATGTGTGATCATGAATAAATAAATTTTAGATCTAACCCTAGTATCATTAAAACAGGCCAAATAAATCCCCACTTCCTACCTCCTAGGGAAAGGGTGAGTTTATGTTGAAATCAAAGAGCTATTATGTCCTCCAAAAAGAACCTTTTGTAAAAATAAGTTAGGGTCCAATACAACAGCAGAAGGAAATATGTGACCTTCCAAATTCCTAAGCCCATAAACCACACCACATGCAGTAACTCCTGCGGTTCAACATGTTAGCAGACAGTAAGAAAAGCGAGGAACAGTACCTCTGTAAAGGCACTGGAAAAGTAATAAAACTTCAGAGAAGAATAGGTATGTTCTCTCAAGGGTCAAGTACTCATTCCTACATCTTAAAACTCACAAAATGTGGGAGATAGCAGAATGAAAAGACAGTAATTCTGTGAAGGAATAAAAGACAGGAAAAACATATTTTGGTGAAACCTTTCAGAAAAAGAAAAGAATTCATGCTGGGGATATAGCTCTACTGCAGAGTGCATACTTAGCATCACGAGACCAGTGTCTGATCACAAAAAAAGAGTGAATTCAACGAATAACCATACTAAATATTCTAGTGTCCACTCTTCCCCCTAAAACATCCTGAAATTAAGGTTCAGGTCTATTCTCTTCTTCTCATTCTTAAGAACTCCCTAAAGG